CACAGGACAGAGCGGAGTTTAGGGCTGTTGTACATAGGGTCGCTATGAGTCGCAGGCGACTCGACGGCACATAACAACAACGACAACAACAAGTTCTAGAGTAATCACTAGAAAAGGATGTAACTACTAGGTAATACTCTATGTTAAAGCACGAAACTCATTCATATGGAGTCAGAATCCACTCATATCTGACCTCCAACAGGTTCTCTGGAAGCTGTTAATCACAACAAAGAGATCTCCTATAAAAAGCCCTCTGGTTGTGCTTCCTCCAAGGCTGGTTTGTTTGTTCTTTGGCAGGCCATGGCATAGTCAATACTCTTTGCTAACAATTCAAAAGCACCAGTTCTTTGAACTTCTTTATTCATTGTATAACTTTCAGATGTATATAAAGCAATTATTATACATACTATGATTTGGATCAGAAGCACGTTAGTCTTTAAACAAATGCCCTTGAACTTTGGAAAAGTTTTTGAAGCACATTTTCCAATGTAACATGCCTTTTGATGTCTTGACTGTTACTATTACGCGTGTAGATTGTGAAGGCAATTAAAATAAAATTGTTGACAACTTTAATCTTTTATCCATCTATCAAGATTTTGCACATTGTTCCAGTGGTAAAGTTTTTGTTTTCCTGATGTTGAGATATAATCTATAGTAAAAGTTGTAGTATAATACTTCTTCAATAAGTATTGCAAGTTCTCTTCACTTTCAGCAAACAAGGTTATCTGCAAAACTCAGTTTGTTGATGAGTCTTAATCTAGTTCAGATGCTTCGTATATTCTTCTTCATATAGTCCAGCTTCCTGAATTAATTATTTAGCATATAGATTGAATAGGTATAAAGAATACAACCCTGACACAGCTTTCCTGATTTTCATGCAGTGGCCCCTGCTCTGTTATGTATAGAATACACATGAGCACAATTAAGTGGTCTGAGATTCTAGTTCTTCTCAGTGTTATCTATAATTTCTTATTATATGCACAGTCAAATGCTTTTACATGGTTATATTTCCAAGAAATTTGACCAACTTATATATTCAATTTTTTTTTAAAAAATAAGGCAATCCAATAAAGTGCAGAAGTTACCTAACCGTATCATTAATATGTCATCAAAGTAAAATATTTCTAAAAAGTTAGTCAAAAGTAACTGAAACAGACATCAACAGGTAACTGTCAGAAATTCAAGCTGGGTTCAAAATAGGCTTTAAAATGAATGATATCATGGCTGATGCCAGATTGGTCTTAGAAGAAAGCAGAGAATACTAGAAAGATTTTAATTTCTAATCATACACAGATATGTGAAAATAATATAACACATGTAAAACTGGTAGCACAGGATAGAACTCATGGAAAAGGTACTATCTTTCAGATACAATGACTCATCATCATCACTGAGTCATTTCCAACTCATAGCAACTGTCCTTCTGGTTTCTGAGGCTATAAATCTTTAAAGATTATCTAGCTTTCTCCCAAGAAGGGCATGCTGGATTTGTATCTCTGAGTCACAGCTAGCAGTCTGACATGTTATACACTAGCTTTCAGATAACTCAAATTCATTGCTATGTAGTCAGAAGTGACTTATCGATGAACTTCAATTGGGTTTCTGAAGGTGGAAATAACATAGGAAGAGACTGTTCATATTCCACTCAAAGCCACCGGTAAATTGGAACTGCCAGAGTCATGGAACTGGTCCACAAAAGATCACTTGCTAGTTACCTCAATCTGTCATACTGTCTTGGATATTTTTGTACAGACTTCTTTTCCTAACAGCATGGTGGTGTTGTATGTCACTGAATCAGAAGTGACTCATAGCTGAGCCTCTAGCAGGTTTTCAGAGGCAGTAAATCACACAGGAGGTAAATATTCATCCTTCTCCCACATAGCTTAGTCTAAAGTACTAGAATTCTTTACAGTCAATAGCTACTTTAAAGTTATTATTACTTTTTTTACTTACTGGACTAGGTCATAGTGTCCTGGACCAGGCCCTGCCTCTGGAATTAACTCTCGTCTTCCCAAAGAGTTGCTAAAGTGTACTCCTTTATACTTCAAAGTTGTACTGAAACCATCCTATTAAAAAACAAGGATTAGCTATAGTTTAAATAAGTCATAATGCATACCTAGATTTTCTTTTATTTAAAGGCAAAGTTCTGCTTACTATATCCCAATTAATTATTACACCTGTGTCCACAAGAATTCCAAAAAGAGTGCCTATAATTTTGGTATTTCTTCACCAATATAAAATTTTTCTTTTTGACAATGCATTCAGTAATCCAAAATGTCATGAAACATGAAACTTAACTCCTTTTAATAAAGGAAAGAAAAGAAGAAACTGGGTAGGTTTAAAAATATCTATTAAACTTACTTTCATTAAATAGAAGAAAAAGTACAAAGATTCTCAACAGATATCACATAACTGCTAAGCTAGATGATAGATAGATAGATAGATAGATGATAGATATTAAAAATAATACAAGTATATAACATAAATATATAATATATTCACATAAAATTGTCAACAGTTACAATATTATTATTGCTATGTGTAATTAAGTTGATTATGACTCATAACAACTCTATGAACAATGACCCTCAACCCTGCTTTATCTTGTATGATCATCTCTGATACAATTGACTTCATTGTTACAGTCACAGTGTCAAACCTTCTTGTTGAAGGTCTTCCTCTCCTACATCTACCTTCCACCTTTTAAATTATTATTTCCTTCTCTAAGGACTAGCCCTTCATAATAACATGTCTAAAGTATGTGAGATGAGGGAGCATCCTGATCACATTTTCTCAAAGAGACTACTTTCTATCTTGGCAATTCATGGAATATTGTATACTCCAACATCACAATTCAAAGGCAAGAGCTCTTCTGTCATCCTTAGTTACTGTCCAACTTTCAGATACAAAGCAAGAAATAGAAAAGAACTGGATGCAGCCTAGTCTTTAAGCTAACATCCCTACTCTTCAGAACTTTGGTGAGATCCCAAAGGAGATTTTTCCAATGAGATATGTTTTTAAATTTATTGACTGGTGGTACTGAGGGTGTTTATTATGGATCCAAGTAAGATGAAATCATTGAAATTGTCAATATTTTCCTCATATCTATAATACTAAACAAAATCCTCATAACAAATTTATAATTTAACTGCATAAAACAGTATATCAGTTGTTATAGGTTATTATTCCTATTCAAAATAGTAATTAATCTCAATTATCATTAAAATAATATTTACAAAACTAATAGCAATATCATATGACAAAAATTCATAATTCCAGCTCAGAAATGACAAATTACAACCACACTCACCCAGCATAATTAATATTTCACATATATGATATATCAATTAAGGCCCAAGGAATCAACAGGATACAAATGTACATGTTTAAACTAACAGATACTGCCCTGGGCTCACGTATGAGTCTAAGCTAGAACATTTGAGAACAGCTGCCTGACCAACTGACTGGAAGAGATCCATATTTGTTCCTATCTCCAAGAAAGGGAACAGAATGTAGAAGTTATCAAACAATATCATTAACATCATGTGCAAGTAAAGTACTGTTGGAGATCTTCAAATACTGATAGCACAATGTATATAGACAGAGAGCTGGCAAAACTTCAAGCTGGATTTAGAATAGGCCATAGCACCAGAAATGTCACTGGTGATGTCAGATGGATCCTGAATGAAAGAAAAGAATTTCAGAAGAATGTCTATTTGTGCTTTACTGACTGTGTAAATGCATTTGACTGTAGATCATAAAAAATTATGGCTAACATAGAGAAAAATGGGAATCCCAGAACATTGATTGTGCTCATGTGAAAACCAGACCTGACGAAAAGACTATTGTTCAAACAGAGCATGGGAACACAACATGGTTTAAAATTAAGAATGTCATGTATCAGGGTTGTATCCTTTCTCCATATATGTCCAATCTGTATGCTGAGCAAAGTACTTGAGAAGCTAGACTCTATGAAGAAGAATGTGAATCAGGATTGGAGGAAGCCTCATCAACAAGCTGTGCTATGCAGATGACACAATTTTGCTTGCTGAAAGTGAAGGGGACTTGAAGTGCTTTCTGCATATCAAAGAATAAAGCCTTCAATATGGATTGCTTCTCACCATCAAGAAAACAAAAATCCTCACCATTTGAATGATAGGCAACACCAAGATAGAAGGAGATAAGTTTGAAACTGTCAACAATTTCATCTTAATTGGATCCACAATCAACACCGTTGATATCAGTTATTAAGAGATCAGGAGACATGCTGTGTAAGGAAAGTCTGGAGTCAGAGACCCCTCTAAATTACTGAAGAGCAATGATGTCAGTTTGAGAACTAAGGTATGTCTGATTCAAGCTATGGTCTTTTCAATCAACTGCTATGCATCTGACAGCTGGACAATGAATAAGGATGACAGAAGAAGAATTGATGTCTCTGAACTGTGATGTTGGAGAAGAGTACTGAATATTCCATGGACTGCCAAAAGAACAAACAGATATGTCTAGGAGAAGATGCAGCCATAGAACTTCTTGAAGGAAAAGGTGATAAAACTTCATCTCATATATTTTAGACGTGTTTCTAGGAGAGGTTATTAGTTGGAGAGTAACATCATGCTTGGAAAAGTAGAGGCGTACCAGAAGAGATGAGAGTGACAACACAGTGACTGCAGCAATGGGCTCATGTAAGTCAGAGATTGTGAAAACGGCACAGGATAGGACAAGATTCAGATATGTATTGTCTCTATGGGCCATACTCAACGGCACCTAATAACAAAATATAAAACACACTATCAGTTCTAATCAGTTCTAGAAACCAGGAGAAGTCAATGTGGGGTTTTTTTTTTTTTTTTTGGTGCCACTGAGTTGAGTATGACTCATTACAACACTAGGAACAAAAGATCTGAATTCTGTTGTATCCTGTGCCATCCTCACACTTCCTGACACAAAAAAGCCCATTGTAAGAGTCACCATGTCAGTCTACATGGTTGAGGATCTTCCTTTCCTTCATCAACCCATCACCCTTCCCAACATCATGTCCTTCTCCAAGGAATAGCAACTCCTAGTAACATGTCCAAAGTATGTGAGGTGAAGCTTCATCATTCTTGCCTCCAAAGAGAACTCCAGCTTCACCCTCTCCAAGACATATCTGTTCATTCTCTTTGCCATCTATGGGATGTTCAGTGCTCTTCTACAATACCACTGCTCAAAGGCATCAATTCTTTTTCTGCCATCTTTATTCATTGTCCTGTTCTTAGATGCATAGCTAGAATCAGAAAGACTATGTCCTGAATCAGACTCACCTTAGTATTCAAACTGACATCACTACTCCTCAATAATTTGGAAAAGTCCCTAAGTGCTGATCTTCCCATTGCAATGTGTCTCCTTATTTCCTGACTGCTGGTAACACAGTGTTAATTGTGGATCCAAGCAAGATGAAGCTATTGACAGTTTCAATCTTCTTTCAATCTTCTCCTCTTAACATTTTATTATGAATGCTATCAAAGTGTGGTGTTATGATGAATTCTTCAAAGATAGAGGCATATTTGTAGCATATTATTTCAATCTTCCCTCCTTTATACTTACTATAATAATGTAATTTTTTGTGCAATAACCCTTAAAACTGTGGCTGACTCTGAGAAGAATGGGAATCCCAGAACACTACTTGATCGTGCTAATGCGAAACCTATACTTGGACCAAGAGACAGTCATCAGAACAGGGCAAGGAAACACTGCATGGTTCAAAATTGGGAAGGGCATACACCAGGGATGTGTCCTGTCTCCATACCTTTTCAAACTGTATACAGAACAAATTATCTGGGAGACTGGGCTCTATGAGGAGAAGTGTGGTGTCAGGATTGGTAGAAGATTCATCAACAATCTGTGTTATGCAGATGACACAACCCTGCTTGCTGAAACTGAAGAGGACCTGGAGCACTTGCTGCAGAGGATCAAGGACTGCAGTCTCCGATGTGGAGGCTCAATGTCAAGAAGGCAAAGATTCTCACCACTGGACCAATTGGCAGCATCAGCATGGATGGTGAAGAGATTGAGATTGTCCACAACTTTAGTCTGCTTGGCTCCACAGTCAATACTCTTGGCACCAGTAAACAGGAAATTAAAAGACATTGCGATGGGAAAATCTGCTGTTAGGGACCTCTCCAAAGTACTGAAGAGCAATGGTGTCTCTCTGGAGACTAAGGTGTGTCTGATACAGGCCACGGTCTTTGCTATCACTTGTTATGCGTCAGAGAGCTGGACAATGACTAAGGAAGATAGAAGGAGAATTGATGTCTTTGAGCTGTGGTGCTCGAGAAGAGTATTGAGGGTACCATGGACTGCTAGTAAACCAGATTCATCCTGGAAAGGGTTAAACTGGGTGACTTCTTGGAGGCAAGGATTCTGAGGCTCCATCTAACATACTTTAGACATGCTGTAAGGAGGGACCGGTCCTTGGAGAGGGACATCATACCTGGTAGAGTAGAGGGACAGCACAGGAGAGGAAGGCCCTCTATGAGGTGGATTAATTCAGTGACTGGGGTAATTGGGATGGGTGTATCGGAGACAGTGTGATTGGCACAGGACAGAGCAGAGTTTAGGGCTGTTGTACATAGGGTCGCTATGAGTTGCAAGAAACTCGACGGCACGTAACAACAACCATTAAAAACATTAATAAAATGGAATATTTCATTAGATAAAAACATAATGACTATAATATAGAGCACAGCAGATATTAGACCTCTGTAGATATTCATTTGACATTAAAAGAGCCTCAATATAACCCTGTAATGTTTAGAAAGGCAAAACTAGTGGTAAGAATTGACTTTTCATAGTAAATGGGGAGCAACCAGCCATCAGGAGATCAGAAGACGTATTGCATTGGGAAAGTCTGCTGTTAGGGACTTATCCAAAATACTGAAGAGCAATAATATACTTTTGAAGAGGTATGCCTAATTCAGGCCATGATCTTTCCAATCACTTGAGATACATCTAAAAGCTGGACATTGAATAAGGATAACAGAAGAAATGATATCTTTGACTTGTGGTGTTGGAGAAGAGTACTGAATAT